TTGTCTGTAATGTACAGAAGCGGCCGACTAGCTATACACCAGGCTGATCTGAGTCCGTCTCAAGATGAAGAGATTTTGACCAGGCTTGTAGTACGAAGACAGTACTACTTGCCAGCTACTTTACCATCCGCCATGTAGAATATGTAATACAGTCTTGTGACCAGAAAAAAAACAAATCAGTTATTTCACAGGGCTATGGAGCTATGGATATACACAGGTTACTGAGCAGAAAAGAAAACGATGGCCAAGAGCCAATCAAGCTTCTCGAGTGTCTAGAAAAAATTTGAAAAGTTCAACCGGGCCAAACCTTGCTAAACCTAAGGCACAGGTACCGTGTATGTTGTCATGCGTGCTCGCTTGGACCCTAGGTTTTAGATAATTTCAGCCACTAGATCTTCTCGAGGCTCAATTTCTCTTCAGAATTGCAATTTTTTTCACACATCTTCTTACTCACAGACATGCGATTATTTACAATGTTTTGTGCTACCATCTTTCAGGTATAACCTTTATCTGCGGTTAATTCAGCATAGGAACTTTCAGAAGAAAAATGCATTTTCATAAAAGCTAGCTAAAGCTCAATCTCACAGTTCAAGTATTATATACAAATGTACGTGTTTACCAAGATTTACTTGCATGCCTGATGCAGCAAAATGAAACTTTCAAGGGTTTTTTTGAACGTGGAACGAGAGCAAACAATAATTTCGGCTAAGAATACTTATCAGGATTGATGAGTTTGTATGCCGAGTGTAAAGTAAGAGTTGACATTAATCAATTGCAAGATCAAGTATTTGACCTGTGATGATTGANCAGCAAAGAAGAGTAGCTTGCTGCAGAGCAAATAGCCCAGTACTTCAGCATGTTGTCTGTAATGTACAGAAGTGGCCGACTAGCCATACACCAGGCTGATCTTAGTCCATCTCAAGATGAAGCAGAAGAGATCTTGACCAGGCTTGTAGTACAAAGACAGTGCTACTTGCCAGCTACTTTACCATCCACCATGTAGAATATGCAATACAGTCTTGTGACCAGAAAAAACAAATCACTTATTTCACAGCGCCCTGGAACTACGGATATACACAGGAGGTTACTGAGCAGAAAAGAAAACGATGGCCAAGAGCCAATCAAGCTTCTTGAGTGCCTAGAAAAATTTAAAAAGTTCAACCGTGCCAAACCTTGCTAAACCTAAGGCACTGGTGCTGTGTATGTTGTCATGTGTGCTTGCTTGTACCCTAGGTTTTAGATAATTTCAGCTTCCAGATCTTCTCAAGGCTCAATTTTTCCTCAGAATTGCAATCGTTTTCACACATCTTCTTACTCGCAGACATGCGATTATTTACAATGTTTTGTGCTAACACCTTTCAGGTATAACCTTTATCTGCGATTAATTCAGTATAGGAACTTTCAGAAAAAAAAAGCATTTTCATAAAAGATAGCTAAAGCTCAGTCTTACAGTTCAAGTATTATATCAACTGTACGTGTTTACCAAGATTTACTTGCATGCCTGATGCAGCAAAATGAAAATTTGAAGGGTATTTTGAACTCGGAATGAGAGCAAACAATATTTTCAGCAAAGAATACTTCTCAGGATTGATGAGTTTGTATGCCGAGTGTAAAGTAAGAGTTGACATTAATCAATTGCAAGATCAAGTATTTGACCTGTGATGATTGAGCAAGGTTTCAAGAGTAATCTAAAAAGCAAGATATGCCAAGAAAAACTCTCATCTAACTAATCAATGTTTTAGAATTCAAACATCACGGCCGTTCATTCCCATATTTAGATTGTACGAATAGAATTTAGGTGTTTTGCACTGTTATTTAACCCTTGGACGNAGTTTGTATGCCGAGTGTAAAGTAAGAGTTGACATTAATCAATTGCAAGATCAAGTATTTGACCTGTGATGATTGAGCAGGGTTTCAAGAGAAATCTAAAAAGCAAGATATGCCAAGAAAAACTCTGATCTAACTAGTCAATGTTTTAGAATTCAAACATCACGGCCGTTCATTCCCACATTTAGATTGTATAGATAGAATTAAGTTGTTTTACACTGTTATTTAACCCTTGGGCGTACAAGCTAACTCGTACCCCCACTGTGGTATTAAGGAGAAATGGAAGGAACCCCCTCTGGTTTTTGCTCTATTAACGCACAGCGTACCAAACTTGGATTTTACTTTTTTCTTAAAAAGTCAAGAAATAATGGAAATTGATACAAAATCAAGCGAGAATGCTTATGAAATGTACAAACTGGTGAATTTCTGGAATTTGATGAAGAAAACTGGAAAAAATACAGAATGTCAAAAAAGGTTGATTTTTGTCCAAACCTACATGAAACTAGTGGTTGCTATGGAAACATAAAAAATGATGGACGCACAATTGACATATCAAAATATCCGCGAAGGATGAATGAACAGCTAATGAAAGTTTTAGCCCCTTAGAGTAAATCGTCTTCTCAAAATTTTGAAAATACCTTATTGGGGGGATGTATCTATCCCCCACCCCCCTCCCTTGTACATCCGAGGGTTATGGGATATTGCAAAGAATTTTGCTTTCATTGAGCTTCCACTGCCCTAAGTAATATTCAAAGATTTTGTTAATGACATTAACATAGAAATAACTTTGATAAACTGATTCTATAGTATCTAATATTTTTAGATTTCGCCCTTTCCTCTTTGTTAAA